GTCGTCTGAAGGTCATTGGACCGTCTGTGGTTTTATGCGCTTCCTTTTTTGAGCAAAGCGCGTTGGTCATCCTGTCTCTCTCTCTTTATGTCAGTGATTAGGACTGTTTATTTTTGTTTTTAATGTCCCCTCCTGCAGAATGAAGCTTACTGTTCTTGATGCTGTTGAGCACTCTCTGTCTCTGTGGAGCTTTTAGAAAAAAAATGACAAGACAAGTTGTAAAGAAAAAAAAACTTACACTTTACATTCACATGCTTAAAATAAGTGTTTGTCTTTCGAGATAATGGATCCTCTCTAAAAGTCATTTGAAACCATTTAAACTGAGCAGAGGAATTAATTCCTGTTGCAGCAGTTTGAATGTTGAATGTTATCCCGAGGGTTGTTGTTGGAGCTGCAGTCCATCTGCAGCAGAAGACGATAACTGCTGTTGCTGCTGCTGGTGCAGTGTCCAAGGTATCATAACATGTTGTAAAGTAGTTTGCTTTATATCTACCCTGATACTGCATCACTGTTACCAACAAAGGTTTACAAACTAAAACAAATATGATTAAAACACCCCGAAGCAATCCCTGATGCAGCAAATAATGTTCATAACATACATAACATGAATAAGCCCTCCTCCTTTTGTAGTTTCCTACAGTATCTAACCAAACTGCCTTAACCTACAGCTGCGTTTTCTTTGGTTTAGGCAACAGAACACTTTAGCGGACCAGAAAAACACAACTTATTTATGGATTAAAAAAAAAAAGTTAAATTCTGGTTTCACACTGGACACAATATGTTAGCACCTGAGAGCATTCAGGATGGAATAAAGCACATAATCCCCGCTATTACAAAAGGATCTGATACAGAAAAAAGGGGGGAATAAGTGAGTCAAAAGGAGCTTGGTTTGTGTGTTTCTTAATTTGCATAGTTTATACTTGCAGCGTGTTTGCGGTCATTGTGATTTTTCTGCGGCGCTTCTTTACATTTTAAACATGTTTTTATTGTCTCTTTTTGTGATTCTTTAGTACATGTTTTGAAATTGTACGTTGCAGCTTTCTTCTAATGCAAATGTTCCTTTAAAAAAACCAATAAAAAACAGGTGCCACTGCCTTGATGTTTTTGCAACCATGTACGATTTTTGGAACTAGCAACTTGTGTAGTGGAAATGTCTTGGACTGAGGCATTTTACCTCGTCAGCCACCGTAGTCAAGACATGAAAGCATATTTCAACTCTTCTTTCAAAACATGTTACATGTGACGTCAGAAATGACAAAGGTATGATAATTCACTCCTGAAAATCTTGAAACTGAAACCTTTTGGGCAGCCTGCCCCTAAAATCAAATGGTAGTACATGGCATAAAAAAGGATGCTTGGTGTTAATGTTGCAAAGATATGAATGATGACCCTTTTACTAGGGTGCTAGTGAGAAAAAAGTCTGAACAGAGGCAGCCTTCTCATATTCAGGGAAATATGTGATTAACAAATCAAAAAGTCATTAATAAGGAAGGAAGATCTGAAATACAATAACACCTTTTAAAGATTATTTTAAGTATTACGGTACATACGTTATACAACCTAGATAAGAATAACCCCAGTGTTCGACTTTGTTCATTAGAGGCGACAGCAGAAAATGTCTCACTGTGACATTCCACTATGTCTTTGGACACCTTATTCCTCTGCTGTCTGAAGAAGACTGACTGCAGCTGATAGAGAAGTCCTTGTCGTTAACATATTTTATAAACTATTTACACGACTCAAGTGTTGGCTGTTCAAGGCCTTTCTCTTTTTAACTTATATGGTTACAGGCGTCAGGCTGCAGCGATCAGCCTGATGGTAGAGATGAGCGTTCAGCTTCAACATCTCTGACGTCCTGCACGTTCATCTGATATGAACTTTAAGAAACATAAAATATTATCAGCCCCTCTGTTCTCATGCTATCTGCCCTGTCAAGCATCTGGTCCCAGCGTTCCTTTGATCTCATCTGACTATTTTTTAAAACAGTTTCTGAACTTCAGCAGCGGCCTCTGTCCTCAGAGAGACTGTTCTTCAATTCAACTGAAAACTTAGAGTGTGTTTGTGTGTGTGTTGGCTTTCAGGATGATTTAATTAGATTTATATGAATTGTTTTTATCTATCTTTAGTTCACATGCAGTCATAAAAATAAAACACACATAAAGAAAATATAAAAGAGATTGTGTGTGTGTGTGTGTGTGTGTGTGTGTGTGTGTGTGTGTGTGTGTGTGTGTGTGTGTGCATAAACCAAAACTAACCAGATATCAGGCTTCATGTATAAAATGCAGAAATAGTATAAAACAAGCAAAACACTTTTTTAAGAAGAAACAAGCAAAGAAATGTATATCCTAAAAAAAAGAATAAAAAAGTAATGTTCAGTGCACCTAAAGTGTATTTTAGGTGCCCTCATGTATGCCACCTGAGAGTTTTCCATGTTTGAGGAAATTTATGGACATCTGTCCAGGTTGAGAGACGACCAACTTTACTCTACCACTGGTCAACAGCTGAGTTTTTAGCATTTGAAATGTTTTTTAAGCATCAAAAAAGGTTTTTACAATTGTTTTTCAAGACTTTTAAGAGTTAAAAAAATAGTTAATAGAGTTGTTAATTTTATTCTGCCATTTTACCTTTCTCATGGCAGTTATGACTTAGAGAGAAATCAATCCAATAAAGACATTTAAAAAACTTTATATTTATTTCAAACAATAATATTCCTGAGTAGAGACACTGAAAAGCCTGCTGTCAGTAACAAGGGATTTGACCTGAAGAAGAGTCCCAATGGTGTTAATGCTCCACACTTTTAAATGGATCTTCTTTCAGACATTGATAGTGTTGCACAGTAGTAGATGTGTAATGAATAGAAAACAGAACATGAAAGAGTACGACGGAGGATTAGGACCATGTTAACATTTTTTTTTTTAAATTTCGAGATTAATCTTGTAAATTTACGAGAATAAAATCTCATGTGCAGAGCCAGTTTGTGTCCTGTTGATCATTTTACAGATAAACAAGGTCTTGCAAGTTGAAGTGAAAACTTCTCTTGAACTAACAGTTTTTACCGACTACACAAGGAAGTAGCTCAAAGTTTGTCATTTGAGAACAGGGTGCTGCTGGTCTTCTGATGTAGACTAAAATAACGACTTTATTCTTTAAAGACTTTAAGAGTTCTACTTTCATCATTTTCGTGCAGGCTGGCCTCAAACTCGTTCATTTACGAGATTAAACTCGTAAATTTACAACATTAATTTTGAAATAAATAAAAAAAAGAAAAGTTTTTTAACGTGGCCCTAATCCTCCATTGTAAAAGAGAAGTATACATCCTGTTTATTTTCTGACGTTTGTTCATCTATCTTTCATTGCATCTGTGGTTATTGGATAGTCTGTTTTGGAAAAGTCAACCGTCAATCCAGATCTAAGGGTATACATTTTTCAGAAATAATGGAAATTGCAACATGTGAGCCTGTTAGACAATCAGTTCAAATGATTATTAGCTCAAACAAATAGACGACATATATGTAAAGTTGGGTAATGGTGGAAAAAGGCCATGATCATTCAGACTGTGAGATGATATATTAAGACAGAATAAAGCCTTCTCAGCAGCTGTGCTAAATGTAGTAGGAAACAATGCACTCATCTATATACATGCAATGTCTTGATTACAGGCTTATTATAGACTTTCAGAGCAGATCAAAAACAATGCTCTTCTGAACACACCTCCTTCATCCTTCAGCTCCCCCTCCCCTCCTGCAGCCACACTTTGCCCAGCCCTGCCTTCCGGTTTTACCAGTGAGTGTCTGTGAGACCGAGCGTGAGGGACAACAGCTGAAAAACATCTGAAAACAAGATCGGGCAATCAATTTCAAGTGATGAAATGCATTTCAAAGTGAATTTGTTGATTTCTGTTGGGAAGACACTCTGTCAGAACAGCCTTCTTGAGTCGGCGGGGCTGTCTTTCCTTCTACCTGGTGGAAAATCTAATGGTTTGACAGGGAGGGGGTCACAAGACCAAAAAAAATCATGAAACATGTTTCAACCTCTGAGTGAATGTCCTGTCAGTGTAAACACAGTGCTGAGAACAACAAAACCAGGGAGAATTTGACTTCACTCTCTTTTTAGGAAGTAATTACTCCACAATATATTTGCATAGGGTGTATTTGAGTTTTGCAACATTAATATTCAACATATCACATATTAAACCTTTTAATTAATACATAATGCATATTCAAGTACAAACTGTTCACTCAGTATGTTTTGTGTACCTGGTAGATTTTAGTCCTCCCTTTTTAGTTCAGTATAGAGATGTAAAATAAAGAAAATCATTAAACATTTTGGCAAAGCCCACAGTTATAACCTTCATGTCCACTACCACCCATCAACAACATGAGTCGTACATCAGGCTTCCAGGGATTTATCTCCTGTTATTCTTCAGACATTCTCTTAATGTGTAAAGCTGAGGTGATTACCAGGTTAATTGAACTGGGAAATGTGGTATGCGTGTGTGTGTGTGTGTGTGTGTGTGTGTGTGTGTGTGTGTGTGTGTGCGTGCGTGCGTGTGTGCATGTGTGCATGTGTGTTTGTGTGTATGTGTGTGTTATGGTATGTTTCAGTAGTACAGACTAAAGGATTTACTGATGGAGATATTTGACCTTTCAGGATTAAAAGCAAACCTCTGCAGAGAAGAACGAAGCAAAGGAAATGACTTGGCCTCATAATATTCAAAATAATATGCAAAATAATAAGATTGGCATTTTAAATGTAAAAGTCAGGAAAGTTTGGATTGCCAATGTTAAGCTCTAGATGCAATATTACAAGATAATTAAAACCTTAAAGCTTAATCCTCTGGCGAGTAGGACTGGGATCAGGAAACTCTATAAGTAGATGGTGATATTATCTACACTGGATTGCTATTATTGTCATCTTCATATCCTGTGGCTTGGTTTAAAACAATGGTGAATCAAAACCAAGGTTGGATTAATAACGTTTTCTCTCTTTCTATTCCTCAGTTTGCTTGGCTGCTCATGGTCGCTATGCTCAGAAGCTGCTGACTGACTTGTTCTCAAACTACACCAACGCTTTGCGGCCGGTTGAAGACACCGACCACATCATCAATGTCACTCTGCAGATCACTCTCTCCCAGATCATCGACATGGTAATCTCTATGAGCATATGTCTACATATGAAACAGAATCTGTTTCCGATGACGACAGTACGTATTACTGTCCAATCATGTCTGAACAGGCTTTGGTTGTTTCTAGGAAACCATCATGCATGTGCATCGGAAAATAGGTAAAATCCACTACAAGAACCACTCGAGTTAGCAGCTGACAACAACATAGCTTTTAATCAATCTTTGCAAATCTACATATTAGTGCACAAAGTTATCCTCTGCAGTTGCCTCTAAGTTGGAACTTCATTTTATGCGTCTGAAGTTCTAAACATCAAGAAGCACACCGAAATAGAAGTCTTTCTCAGCCAAACAATACTTGGTTTCTGTTGTCTGCATTTTAGTTGACTACAATGAAAATCCTGATTCTCATACGAATAGCATAACCTGAAATCCTTATCAATTTATAATAATTGCGGCTGAACATCTGTTTTTAATACCTTGTCTGTAGTTTCTAAAGTAAAAAAATCCTCTCCAAATTACTGACCACAATTCAACAAAAACATAGTCCTCTGATAATAGTAATCCAGTACTTATCATTAAATTCAGTTACTTGGGTTGGTCATTTTTAAGTTTAAGAAGGTCGGGCGCTGGTGTCTCAAAGCGGGCGGCCCAGGTTCGAATCCAGCCTGTAACTCCTTTCCCGCATGTCATTCCCTACTCTCTCTGCCTGATTTCCAACTCTATCCACTATCTTATCTCTACATTAAAGGTACAAAAAGCCCAAAAAAAAAAAAAAAAAGAAAAAAAAAAGGTCTCTGCAGCTTTTTCTGACCCTTTATCCGGTCAGAATAATGGAGGCTGCATTTGGCGTTTTGACATCAATTTTGGTTCAAATTCAGCAGGTGGTGTGTGATCGCACATAGTAATGAGACCCATTTACAGACATATTAAACTAAAATCCATCAAAAACAGATGTGGATGAGTAATTAGATGGATGACATGCTTTGAAATATGTGTTGGGGAACACTAGAGATGGGTACAGGAGCAAGAGTTCTTGGTCTATTGCTTTTGATAACGTGGTTCACCCCACACAGCAATTTAAAAAGTGTCTCATCTAGTCCAATGTATTTTTACTTAGCAGCAATATCCTCCGGTTATTTTCACGTGTTCTCCATGCATGTTCTTTGTGGAAGTTTACTGGATGTGGATATATTATCTTCTTACAATTAATTTCCAGCAGGGTGTAAAGTGTTATGCTGCCCCCCAGAGACAATATGGATGTCCTGCAGCGCCTCAGTTTGTATTGGATCAAATTACCGACTTTGCTTATCCAGTGCGAATGTGCTGCACCAAATACTGATGTTGGGGAGTAATTTCCAAATGACCAGAGGTTCCCAGGTGATACTAATCCCATTTGATAGGACTTAAGCAACACAATTTTAGCCATTTGCCCAAATGCTACATTGTCGACTGTTGATAGGTGATGGGTAGTCTGGATATGCTGAATGCCATCCCAATGTTCTTGTTGTTTTTATTTATGCATGCTGATGTGTATGTGCCCTTTCACCAGGATGAGCGAAACCAGATTCTGACTACGTACCTGTGGATCCGCCAGGTGTGGATGGATGCCTATCTCACCTGGAAGACGGAGGACTATGATGGCCTTGACACCATCCGCATTCCTAGTAGCTACGTGTGGAGACCTGACATTGTTCTGTATAACAGGTATATGTGGACCTCTGCTTGCTGCAGAATTTTTGGCAGAAAAAAAAACATCACCCAGCTTTGATTCCTGTCTTTCCTCCCTTTACTTTTCTCTTCTTTCTCCACCACAGTGCAGACGACGAGTTTTCAAACTCCATGGAGACCAATATTGTTCTCCGTAACGATGGGCAGGTGATGTGGGACCAGCCAGCCATTACCAAAAGTTCCTGCTCCGTGGATGTGGCCTTCTTTCCCTTTGATTTGCAGCAATGCCACCTCACCTTTGGTTCCTGGACTCACAATGGCAACCAGATGGACTTATCCAACGCTTTGGACAGCGCTGACCTGACCGACTTTGTTGACAATGTGGAGTGGGAGGTGACTGTTTACATTGTTCATGTGTTAAAACTATAACCAGTATCAAAAGTATATTCTTGAGTATATTGGATTCTTTTTCTCACCAGGTTTTGGGCATGCCAGCCAAGAAGAATGTTATTCTGTATGGTTGCTGTTCAGATCCGTATCCGGACATCACCTTCACCCTCCACCTGAAGAGACGTGCCTCCTTCTATATCTTCAACCTACTCATCCCCTGCATGATGATCTCCTTTCTGGCTCCCCTGGGTTTCTACTTGCCAGCTGACTCGGGTGAAAAAGTTTCCCTGGGTGTCACCGTGCTGCTGGCCCTCACTGTATTTCAGCTGCTTGTGGCTGAGAGCATGCCGCCATCAGAGAGTGTCCCGTTAATAGGTGAGAAGACTGAGAATTCCCTTATTATGTATGTGTCTTGTTGTTCTTTGTTGAGAAATTATGACGACATTTATGATCCACAGCTTGCAGGTGGTGGTCATGGTGGTTGTAACACATGGAAGGTTCATTGTTATTTGTTTTATCATCACAAAAGGCTTGACTCAAGTTCTCTGGAAAGCATGGTCATCATTGTGTCCACTTCAGACACACGCAGATGAGATTCTCTTTTAGAACTTGTCAGATGCCTGGGATCATTTAGTTTTGACCTTATCCACTTTCTATCTTGTTTACCCTCACTCAATGAACTCAAGTGCCAAGGAGGAGTCAGTAGTAATCTTTTTAAGCATTCTTTTTCTTCCTATCTGATCACTCCGATAATGAACCATTTTGACATTTTAAACTCTCTGTGACTTTTTTACAAGCTTTCATCAGTCAGAATTATGAAGTATATCATTAGTATTAGTATAGTA